GAACGCCATGAGCCTGGGTCCCCGCCGCGCCCGCTCCGCTCCGACCGCCGTCGCCGCCGAGGCCCCCTTTGATGCCGCAGAGCTCCCCCAGCGCCGCCGCCACCGCCTCCGACATGGACAAGAACAGCGGCTCCAACAGCTCCTCCGCCTCCTCGGGCAGCAGCAAAGGGCAACAGCCGCCCCGCTCCGCCTCGGCGGGGCCGGCCGGCGAGTCTAAACCCAAGAGCGGTAAGAGCCGGCGGAGGTCGGGTCTGCGGGGTCACTTGGGGACAAACGACCCTCCCTTCCCTCGTCCTGAGGTCCAGTACGTACGATTAAGCTGATCTGCACCACATGGTTAATTTAGTCCTTTGCATTCATATTCAGAACAGCTGGCTGAAGTAGGCGCTATTCTTAGCCCCATTTTGCAGACGAGGAATCTGAGATTTGGAAAGGGTTAAGGTCATCCAGGTAACAAGTACCTCACAGCTGGCTTTAAGACCTAGGTTGTTTGTGTGACTCATCAGTCCACGCTCCAAAACCACTGAGTTTGTGTTGGATTAACATTGGATTGCATTCCAGATTAAATAAGAGAGGCCGAGGCCCGAGGGTTTTCAGACTTCTGGCTTCAGATCTGCTCGTTTAAGAGGTCTTATCATGGAATGGTAAAGCGTGCAGAGTCTGTGTTCAGTCGTTTTAGGTTCAGTCCTTGAGTTTGCCTTACCTGTAAAAGAGTGTAAGAAGTAAATGAGCAGAGTACTTGACAACTACTTGCACCAAAAATATTATACCAATTTGTGTGTGGTTATAGGTGTTTTGCTTTCACGGGGGAATATGTCATGTGTGTAGTCACGCTTAATATTAACATAGCATAATGATAAGTTAATGAAAGTACTGGGCTGAACTTTTATTTCTGTTATCCCTATTTTAATTGTTTATCCAGGGTAGCAAGGCAGAATTGTTCCTTTTAGAGACTAAATTGAGACTGTAGGTTGTTGGGAATTGGCAGAATCCTGAGTCCAGCTTTCTCCATCATGTTTCAGAAGTATGTACAAATCCTTGTTCTCTTTTAGACTTTGATCATATTAGCTGTGGGTTTTTGTTTGTTTTTGAGATTGTAATTTAATTCCAATGTTTCTCCTTCCCTTTCCTCCCTCCAAAGCTTCCCTTATAACCCGCCCCCTCTCCTTCAAATTCATGACCTCTTTTTTCATTAATTGTTTTTGCTTGCATTTTTGTGTATGTATGTATTTTGTGTATATATGTATTTTTGTGTATGTATGTATGTATATATTTTTGTGTGCGTATATATATCAGTGAACCTGCCAAACTAGATGGGGGAAGCCTACAAGGCCTACAGGCAACTTAGTAAAACTGGGAGTAGGAGAGGTAATCTTCCCCAGGGAAAAGCACACTGATTGGTTGTCAGTGTCCAAACAATCAGCCCTGGGAAATGTAAGTGCAAGTAACATTGTATGGACTCAGAGTAGGTGTGTGTGACAGAGGGGACCTTTGGAGGTAACAGTCTGATTCAAAAAGCTGTAAGGCTAGTTTACCTATCCATAGGCCAGAGATGTGAGTCAGTCGTAGAGTTACTTGTATACTTGCCTAGGTATACAAGGGCCTGGGTTTGATCCTTTCCGCCCCTCCAATTTAAATTAAAAGGAAGAACATTAAAAAGCACACACCAAATTTTTAAGGTTCACTGACTTTGGGAGTTTCTCTGCAGGGTGTGACAAACTCCTTTACCAGTTGAGGGCTAGCAGAATTTGCCTGCGGAGACCAGTTGTCACCATCTATGATATACTAGTGTTTTAAATATCTAAGCAGGAATTAGTGTAACTTCAGGCCAAGTCAGGAATTCCATAAACTAATTTTGGAGTCTCCCGCCAACATGGAGCTTTATCACGAATCTTTTTTTGTGGCTGTTGTTAGGATGTATCTCAAATTGATGGCCTTAGCTTTTGCACCCTGCAAAATGTTAAGCTTTGTAATGTTATTAAGCTTTGATTATCCAAGAATTCTCAACTAACTTTTTAGGGCCCTATTTAAGTCACTAAAATGCATTCATGCATGAATCAGCTGAAGTAAATGCTTTGTTTGTTGTTTAGTGAACCATAGGCCAAAACTTGTGTTAGACCAAACAAATACCAGAGGGCCACAAAGAGGGCTCACTGCTGTGCAGGTGGAAGGAAGGAGCCAACTCCACGTTCTCCCTCATGAGTACATAATGCACATACATGATTATAATATATTTTTTAAAATTAAAAAGCTAGAGAGCTGATGTGCTTAAGACATTTTACCGCATCCTTGACTTTGACATTAGTTCCTGTAGAGTAGAATGTTGAAATTACCCAGCAGTATGCAACTCAGTGTTGTAGCTGGACCAAAACAAATAATTGTCAGTGGTAGCATTTCAGCAGGGCTGTGTGTGATGAGTGATGGTTGTTCAGGACATTCTGACTTTGTCCTTTTTTAAAATTAATTAATTAATTAATTAATTGGTTTTTTGAGGCAGGGTTTCTTTTTGTAACAGCACTGGCTGTCCTGGAATTCACTCTGTAGATCAGGCTGGCCTTGAACTCAAGAGATCCCCCTGCCTCTGCCTCCCAAGTGCTGGGATTAAAGGCATGTGCCACCAGTGCCGGTCTCTCTTATTTTATTTATTTATTTTTTAATTTTAAAAAGCCTCACTAAGTAGGCTAGGCTTGCCTAGAACTCTCTAGTCATTTGACTGCCTCCCAGGTGCTGATGTCATTCTGTTTTCTTGTAGTTAAATACTTTATATAAAACACACTTAAAACACAGTTAAGATTTCAACTAAATATAGTTAGTGGCTAACACCTGTAATCCCAGTGCTCAGTTGCTGGAGAAGGACCACCTCAAATTCAAAGCCAGTTTGTGCTGAACAGGAAGTCCTAGACTGCCAGGACTACAGAGTCAGTCTCTGCTTCGAGTGTCAACAGTTTATTTATTTAACCCTGGCTGTCCTAGAACTCATTCAATAAACCAGGCTGGTCTTGAACTCAAGAATCTGTCAGAACTCTTGTTTCTTTGAAACAAGGTCTCCCTGCATAGCTTTGGCTGGTCTCAGACTCTGAGAGCTACCTGTCTCTGCCTCAGAAGTGCTGGAATTAAAGGTGTGTGCCACACCACACCTGCTTGCTTATTTGTTTTAATCTGGATGGTACTGTGCAGCTGAGGTTGGCCTCAGACCCTCCTCCTTCCTCAGCCCGGAATTGCTGAGTTTACACTTAGCATGCCCAACTGAAATGTTTTTATATAGTTTAACTTTAAATTTTAGTCGGGCGGTGGTGGCTCATGCCTTTAATCCCAGCACTCAGGAGGCAGAGGCAGGCGGATCTCTGTGAGTTTGAGGCCAGCCTGGTCTACAAGAGCTAGTTCCAGAACAGGCTCTAATACAGCGAAACCCTGTCTCGAAAAACCAAAACAACAACAACAACAAAAAAGCAGTATTTAGTTATGTATATTTGCTGGAGAGTCAATATCCTCTTGTTTTAGTCTCCCTTTTTATTATGCCATGTATGAGAGGGACATTTATTTACTATCATTCACAGAGATCCACTTGGCTCTGCTCAACTTTTTCTTTTCTAAAATATGGGTTCCAGTGATCAAACTCAGGTCTCAGATCCTCAAGCATATTCAGTGGGTGCCTTTAATAACTAAACTACCTCACTGGCATAATAATTTTTTTTTCCTACGTGTATTATTTGGGATAGGTGGTCAGGCTTGGTGGCAAGCACCTTGACCAGCTGGAATTAAAACTGGCCCTAGTTTTGATTGCCAGACTGGAGAGACTACAAAAGACTTTTTTTTTTTTTTTCCTCAAGACACTGTTCACTGTTTCTCTGTGTAGCTTTGGAGTTCAGGGAACTTGCTCTGTAAACCAGGTTGGCCTCAAACTTGGAGGTCTACCTGCCTGTGTCTCCTGAGTGCTGGGGTTAAAGATGTGTGCTAATCATTGCCCGGCCATACAGCCCCACAATGTTCTGGACTCCATAGTCACAAACATACATGTGTACAGCCATGCATGCAAGCAAAACACCCATATACACATTAAAAGTAAAATAAGGTGGTGATGCCTTTAATCCCAGCACTTGACAGGCAGAGGCAGGCAGATACCTGTGTTCTAGGACAGTCTTGTCTACAAAGTGAGTTCTGCGATAGGCTCCAAAGCTACAGAAAGAAAATAGAACAAATTGCAAACTGTAAATGAAGCCGAGTGCAGTGGGCACAGTGTATAATTCCAACACCATGAAGCACCATGAATTTGATGGCCACACTAGGCTAATGAACAAGCTTCAGGGCAGCCTAGTTACATAAGATCCTTCACCAAGCCAAATGAGAAACACTGCATCTGAGTGTTGAGAACCGATGCAGTGATTTTGAGATGTGTGCTGACCAGAGGCTAGTTTTAGGAGTATTCCAGAGGCTGACTCATTGTTGAAAGGACCTCTTGAATTTCAGAGTCTCGACTTGGAATAGAAGCGTGAAATGGAAGATACAGTTTCACTTTCTTTTGCCAGCGTAAATCTCTAATCTCTCTCTCTCTCTCTCTCTCTCTCTCTCTCTCTCTCTCTTTCACACACACACACACACACACACACACACAAAACTTACTTGGTTTCTAGAGACAGTGTCATGTCTCTAAAACTGAATCCCATTCTGCCTTGAACTCCCTGATCCTCCTGCTTTCACCTTCCAAGTACTGGAACCTAGGGCATCACCACCACTAGCTTAGTTTTTCCGTATTCAGTTCCTTTTTTGTCTCTCTTTTGTCCCATATAAAAGAACCCCTTGGTATCTATAAACTGTGTAAGTTATAAGTATATAAGTAGCATTTGCTCTCGCTCTCTCTTTCCCTCTTTCCTTTTTTTTTTTCTTTTTTTTTTTTTTGAGACAGGTTTCTCTGTGTAGCTTTGGAGCCTATCCTAGAACTTGCTCTTGTAGACCAGGCTGGCTTTGAACTCACAGAGATCCTGCCTCTGCCTCCCAGGTGCTGGGATTAAAGGCGTGAGCTGCCACCTCTTTCTAACTACATGAATATACTTAATATGTTTTCCTGTGCTCCTGTAGCTAGCTTACATGGGCTCTTCACTAGTATACTAATTGACTTACCAGGATCCTGCTCCTTGGTCTTTCTGTTCACAGCCTTGGCTAATTGCTTCAGCTTTATTTCAGTAGGACAGACTGTTGTTAGAACAGTTTACCAGTGACTGTCCCAACAA